ACTGTCTGGTGCTCCCCAGGTTTTTTCTGCTAATTATTGAGTAAACTTGCTTTAAAAATCAACTTTAAAAAGTCGATTTGAAGCAGGAATCAGTTGATTTGAAACCAGAATAAGTCAATTTGAAGCAGGAATCAGTTGATCTGAGGCCAGAATAAGTCGATTTGAAGCAGGAATCAGTTGATTTGAAACCAGAATAAGTCGATTTGAAACCAGAATCAGTTGATTTGAAGTCCAGAGTGACAATCCAAAGGGTGGCTGGGCTGGCCAGGAGCACAGAGCGTGTTTAAACTGCAGTGGAATGACCCCAAAATTCCACATCTGTGGAGTTGTGAGTGTCAGCTGAGGGTATCCATGTTTTCCCTGCCCGGAGCAGCTCCTGGTTTCCCTGGGAGCAGCAGGATTGGATTCCCAATTGGATTCCCTCCCGGGAGGTGTCCCCGTGTTTAACCCGAGTCTTCCTTATCTCTGGATATCAAACCTGGCAGCTGCTCCCCAGGAGCAGGAAGGGAAGTGCTGCCTGTTTATCCCTCTCCTGGAAAGCCTGGAATGTGCCCGTGCCAACCCCTCCTGTGAGAACACGCCCGGTGCCTGTGCCACACCACCCTCGTGGTGCCACCTCCCGCTCCAACCTCAACCCTTGCCTGTCACCTGGATTTTTTATTTTCCTTTTTTTTCCCTCCTTTTCCTGCCTTAATCCCGTGGTGTTTTCCAGGCTTCTGGGAAGAACCTGAACCTGAATGATGAAAGCCAGCACGGGCTGCTCATGCAGCTCCTCAAGCTCACCCACAACTGCCTGAACTTCGACTTCATCGGCACCTCCACGGACGAGTCCTCGGATGATCTTTGCACTGTGCAGATCCCAACCAGTTGGAGATCAGGTAACTGGGCTGCAGGAGGACCAGGGGCCTGCTCAGTCCTTCTCTTGAGCTCCATAAAAACCACGTGCATGGAATTCCAGAGGTTAAATCCAGCTTTTCCTTGGGGGGAAAACCACACAATCCACTCAGGGTGGGTCATCTTGACTCCTCTGCCCTTCCAGTCTTGCACCTCCCAGTTCAAAGAGCAGCAAACTGGTTGGGTTTTTCTTTTTTTTTTAAAATATATAAATAACATAATTTGGCACCTGTTCTCCACATCCTTGCTGTTCTCACCAGGCACTTGCACAGATTGTGTTCTTAAAATACTTCCCTGTCATTCTCCCTCAGTTCCAAGTGCCAGTGGGTTCCTTTATTTTCTAGGAAAAGGCTTTTTGCGTGAAACTACAAAATCCTTCAGCAGTTTTCTTGGGTTGGGGGTGCTTTGTGTGACAGATGCACTTGGCTTTGGGGATAAAATAAGCACCAGGCCTGTGTGGAAAGCAGGAAATGGAGGTAAAATGCTCTTTTCTGTTGCAGCATTCTTGGATTCTTCGACCCTTCAGTTGTTTTTTGATCTTTATCATTCCATCCCTCCTTCGTTCTCTCCTCTGGTAAGTCCAGTGCTCGTTTCCTTCCCTTCCAGGAAGGGTTTGTGGGATCCATGTGGGGAATTCACTGGTGGTTTAGTTTGACTTCACCCCACCCTGATGGCTCGTGTGTCCAAGTGCTGCCGTTGAAGGTTTTTTAGGAGCATCCGCAGGGTTTGGATTTGCCCTCAGAGCAGTTTTTTTGCTGGAATTCCAATGTTATCCTCCCATGGAGTCTGCCTGCTCAGCCCTGTTTTAGAGGGAACGCAGCTGATGTTATTTCCTCTGTGCTCCTGCTGGATCCTAAAAGCACGTTAGGAGTAGTAGGTAGGAAGTCTGGGAACACCCCGAGGGATGGAATTTCTCCTTCCCCACTTTAAAACTAGGCCATGTCCCACTTGGATGAAAGGGCCAATAGCACAACTGAGCTAAAAGTTAAATTATTTCTTGGGGAAAAAAAAAGAAAAGATTGCCTGCCAGGCATTTCTCTGCCTGATAAATATTTCCCATAATTAAAGCTGCAAGGAAAACGAGCCCTTTGGCTACAGAGGGAAGGATTTTTTTTTTCCATGGAGACACCACTGCTCGTGGTGGTGGAGGGTTATTGGCCAATTCTGAATTTAGAGCCTCAAATATTCATGAGAGGTTTGAAGTGTGAGACTCTGGGGTTTTTTTGGTTGTTGTTAATGAGTAGAAATCCAGAGCAATTTAATTGTCCTGCCCCTGTGATGAGGGACTACCAGAACCAGCAGGAATGAGCAGGGAGGCCTTGCACTGCTCCAAGGGGTGGGGATTTGCCTCTGGATTGGGATTGCAGGTGCTGCTCACATCTAACTGCCCCTGCCCTTCACAGTCCTCTTCACCAGCCTCTTCCTGCTGCAGCTGCACCCTGGAATTTCCTCTGGATTTAAATTTCAGAGGTTTGGGTTGAGAACAGTTTAATTCTGTTTCTTGCCACTCTTTTATCCCCTGGAATACTTTCCCAAGTCTGTGTTACATTTCTCAGCTTTCCCAGCCAGTCCCAGTGTATTTTCAGTCTTCATCTGAAGGAATTCCAGCAGTTTTGGTAGCAGAGTTTGGAGCAAAGGAGGTTCGGGGGGACCTTCTGGCTCTGCAACTCCCTGACAGGAGGGGGGAGCCAGGGGGTTTGGACTCTTCTCCCAGGGAACAAGGGACAAGAGGAGAGGAAACAACCTCAGATTGTGCCAGGGGAGGCTCAGGTTGGACATCAGGAGGAATTTCTCCCTGGAAAGGGTGGTCAGGCATTGGAACTGCCCAGGGAGGTTTGGAGTCCCCAATCCTGGAGGTGTCCAAGGAAGGACTGGCCGTGGCACTCAGTGCTCTGGGCTGGATGGGCTGGTGGAAATCAGTCACAGGTTGGGCTCCATGACCTTGGAGGGCTTTTCCAACCCCAGTGATTCCCTGATTCTGTGATGCTGGGATGGAGCTGTTCCTTTGGGTGACTCCCGCTGCCGTAATTCCTTCCTGCACAAAATCACAAACCTGGAGCTGTTGTGTCACACACAGAGGAGCATCACACCTGTCACAAGGAGGAAACCTGCTGCTCCTGTGATTGTCCTAATCCCTGTTTTCCTGTTTATCCCCCTGTGCCCCTGCAGGTTTTGTCCTGCTTGGTGCAGATCGCCTCCGTTCGCAGATCCCTCTTCAACAACGCCGAGCGGGCAAAGTTCTTATCTCATCTCGTTGATGGAGTCAAACGGATACTGGAAAACCCCCAGGTGGGTGTTCCAGGTGGAACTGGGGCTCTGCTTCCTCTTCATCGTGTTTCTCCACCAAAAATACCTCCAGTGTCCATGTCCCACTTGATCACAGACACAGGAGGAAGAAGAACTTGGCGAAGGGGAGAAGGGTGCAATGTCCTGCTGCTCTCTTCCTTTTCTCAACCAAGGAAGGTTCAGGTTGGATAGCAGGAAAAATTCCTTCACTGGAAGAGTGCTTTGGCATTGGAACAGGCTGCCCAGGGCAGTGGTGGAGTCGCCATCCCTGGAAGTGTTCATAAAACAAGTGGATGTGGCACTTCCTGAGCCCCTTTATTGGGCGGGGGGGGATTCGGTGGAAGGTTGGGCTCGGTGACCGTGGAGGTCCCTTCCAACCCGTGTGGTTCTGTGACAATCTGAGCCCCTTGCAGTCACTGCTGAGCTGTTCCTCAGTTCCTCTCCCCTTTTTCTCCTCTCAGAGCTTGTCAGACCCCAACAACTACCACGAGTTCTGCCGATTGCTGGCGCGGTTGAAAAGCAATTACCAGCTGGGCGAGCTGGTGAAGGTGGAGAACTACCCCGAGGTCATCCGGCTCATTGCCAACTTCACTGTCACCAGCCTGCAGGTACCCCTGGCTCTCCTTCTCTTGTCTCCCCTTGAAACAAAAATCCCACCCCCCTGCTCTGTTCCCTGCCCCTTCATTTACGTTATTTTTGCCCCAAACCCCTCTCGGAGAATCCCGCAGTGTAGCCTTGATTATCCTGTGAATTCCTGCTGAATGGAGCTGGAGCAGCCTGTGGGGGAAGGCAGAGTTGCCATGCCTCCAGAGGCTTTTTCCAAATCCTAGCAGAGAAGAAAAAAAACCCCCAGCCTGTTAAATAAGGCTTATTTTTAGAATTGTGTCTCACTTCACGTCGCAGGGATCACCAGTAATAGGGATATCAAGCCGTATTCCCACTGAGTTTTCCACTGGTGTATCAAGCTTGTAACCACCCCCCTGCACAGGGCAGGAGTCAGAACATTGTACAGCTCAGATAATGCCTTTTGTTTGTTAAATTTTGATATCTGAAAGCAACTTGAGGCTGCACAGGGGGTGTGAGGAGCTGTGCAGCACGAGCTCGGCCGCGGTTGGGGACTGGAGGCTCAGCTCCACATCCCAGGAACTCGGGATTATCTCCCTGAGTGCTGCTGATGCCACTGAATCCAGGTGTGCACTGAAATTCCTGGTTAATTTGGCAACCAGGCCCTTCAAGCTTTTAGATGCTGCTGTGTCCAGTGGAAGGTTCATTGCCTATGGGGAGTGGAAGGAGCTGAGCTCTGAGGTCCCTTCCAAACCGAACCACTCTGAGATTCTGTGATCTCTGCATCCCCCTCAACACCAAGAGATGCTGCCCCTGGCTCAGCAGACCTGATACTCCTCAAATTCCTTGTTCCCACTGGCATTTCCAGCATGGAAACTCTGCCAGTGCAAGGAGACCCCTCTGGCACCACCCATGGCCCTCCCAAGTCAGAGGAGGGGGGGGACAGGAATTCCACGATCCTATGAAAATAATCCGGGTAAAATAATCCAGATCATAACTCCTTGGGTTTGGTTTGTTTTTTCCTTCCCTTCCCTTTCCCTCTGGAAGCACTGGGAGTTTGCTCCCAACAGTGTTCACTACCTACTGAGCCTGTGGCAGCGCCTGGCAGCGTCCGTGCCCTACGTGAAGGCCACCGAGCCCCACATGCTGGAGACCTACACCCCCGAGGTCACCAAAGCCTACATCACATCCCGCCTGGAATCCGTGCACATCATCCTCAGGTGAGGCCAGAGCCAGGGCTGGAGCTGCTCTCCTGGCAGGAAAGGCTTCCCAAAGGGAATTGGGGTTGTTCAGCTCCGGGGTGACCTCAGCGTGGCCTTCCAGGAAGGACCTGCTGGGAGCTGCAGCAAAGATGGAGAGAGACTTATTCCCAAGGGCCTGGAGTGCCAGGAAAATGGGAATGGCTTCCCACGGACAGAGGGCATCGATTTAGGTTGAATATTGGGAAGGAATTGTTGGCTGTGAGGGTGGGGAGGCCCTGGAATGGAATTCCCAGAGAAGCTGTGGCTGCCCCATCCCTGGAATGTTAAAAGACCCAGATAAACATTAAGGGTGAAAGAAGAGGTTCCTAAGCCCAGGTGCTGCTGCTCTTCCCACCTCACCCCTGCTGTTCCCCTGGTTTGTGGCCTCAGGGATGGTTGGATGTTGCTCCGAGTGTTTCCCATCCCGATGGAAGCACCGACACCGTCACTGGAATTCCCGTGTGCCCGGGAAACGCCCTGTACCCCCCACAAACCCCCTGCTGTGGTTGGACAGGCCGTCTCCACCCCATAAATCCCTTCCTGACCCGCTCTCTCTCCGCTCAGGGACGGGCTGGAGGATCCCCTGGACGACACGGGGCTGGTGCAGCAGCAGCTGGACCAGCTCTCCACCATCGGGCGCTGCGAGTACGAGAAGACGTGTGCTCTGCTCGTGCAGCTCTTCGACCAGTCAGCCCAGTCCTACCAGGAGCTGCTCCAGAGTGCCACTGCCAGCCCCATGGACGTGGCTGTGCAGGAAGGTGAGCCCAGCTGCAGGACTCAGAGGCCCGTTTTCTTCCAGAGGGTGTCATTTAATACCTATTTAATATCTTTAATGTCTTTATTGGTGGTTTAGATGAGGGGGTTGAGTCCACCATCAGAAAATTTGCAGGTGACACCAAGCTGGGGGGGAGTGTGGATCAGCTGGAAGGCAGGAGGGCTCTGCAGAGGGACCTGGACAGGCTGGATCCATGGGCTGATTCCAAGGGGATGAGGTTCAACCAGGCCAGGGCCCGGGTCCTGCCCTTT